ATAATATGACTTTATTCTTAGAATTTTACAACTTTATTCTCATATTATGACTTTATTATTGTAATAAAACATACCTTGTGTGGCCCTAATACTCCATCGTGAAAATCAGTTTGAAGCWTTGTGATAGTTTTTCATTTTGACAGTTTAGTCACCAAAATGTAACAAAACTCACATCAGGTTTGTTTGAAGGCAAACAAAGTAAAATAAAAGTAAAGATTCTGTTCATTTGAACTTATTGTAAGGCGAAGCCTTCGGTGGTTTGATTTATTCCACAGAACCGGGCGTGTTTTAAACGTGCACTCRCCCACACTTCATCACTGTCTTGTTCAGCAGCGAATAAATCACAAGCTCTCAGTTCTCAGTTAATAAGTTGGAGGTTAGGAGGACACATCCCACCCACCCGCTCTCTTTTCCTTCACCTCCATCATCACCTCCTACAGTGAAGGAGGTGAAATCGATGTTGCTCCGGCGTTTAAAGACCTGAGTCAAATGTGGAGAACGTCACGTGTCRTTCTACAAAACGCCTTGACTGTATGGGGGGAAACTGGCCCAGAAAGGTTTAACTTGATCCTAAATTGCTTTTCATTTTGTTTTTGTTCTCTAAGATATAAGTTGTGTATTATTTGTAAAGTATTTTTTCTTTGTTTTTATTTAAAAATTAAACAAATAAATTTTTTGAATTGAATTTGAATTAAAAAAAATTACTGTGAATGCCCCCTCCTGACGGCGCGTTTGGAGGAAAATAAATCGACGTTGTGGGTGATGATGGTGATGATGATGATGATGATGAAGGGGAAATTAAAATGTTTGCTCTGAGAGACAAGTAAAAATGGTGAGAGAGAAAACACTTTCTGTAGAAATAAACAGCTTTAAGTGGTAAATAAGTAGCTTCAGAGGTCTTGTTTGGGTTTTTGTTTTAATGTCAGTGTTCAGAGTTAAAGATCTGATCAGAGCTTGAAAGGAAAACTCTGAAGTATCTGCATGGATGAGACGAGGCTGGAGTCCTGCCAGACGTGCCTGTGGAGCACGGCGGAGCCCTGGGATCACATTTTTACTCTTTCCTTGGCTAAACACCGGTTCAATAAATAATAAGCTTTGTAGTAAAATGTTAATATTGCAGATGTGGGTATTGGCAGTGAAAAAGCATTGTTGTGTTTGAGACATTAGTTCATGTGTTTCCACCGGGCTGAAATAAGAAGATGAATTATTAAACTCACCCAAACAGGAAGAAAAATGCTGCTGCTGCTGCAGAGAAGGAAAATGGGTAAAAATAAAATCAAATTCATTCAAGAAACAAAGTGAGGTAAAGAAGGTCCTCGTTTAGGGAGGGGCTAAATTAGCAGGAAGTGGATTTTWTGGAAAATTCTCTGTAAAACAACAAAGTTTGTTTTTTATTCAATCTAAACCGTAAAATAACGTCTCTGCAGAGGAAGAGTTGAATTTCTAAAGTGTTTTTATTTGTCTCAACATGAGAGCATACTTCTGTGCTCATCATCATCATCATCATCATCATCATCATCATCATCA